TGTAGGGAGAGTCCGTATCGATCACGACAAACTCGGTGTCGATGACAAAGGGACCTGTGACAACTGGCAATGTGATTTTCCCCACGGGCAGGGCGAACGAGCCGTTGAATCCGATGAGGGGTGTCCTGACTTTGGTGAGGTCTTTGGGGCCAAGACCCATCCGTTTTAAAGTTTCGGAGTACATCACCTCCGAGGAACTTCCAGAGTCTATCAAAATCCTTTTGACGTCGAATTTTCCTATCCTCAGGGTCAAGACAAGGGCGTCGTTATGAGGAGTCACTACGCCTGTCAAATCCGCGTCGGAGAATGTAATGCCAAGCTCACCCGTCCTGGCCCTTTTACTTGGTGGCCCTACATCAACCTCGGCTACCTTCCTGGTAAAAGCTACCCTCTTGAGGTCGGACTCGAGTTCCTTGGACGTGGGGCGATCCAGGGGACATATATGGATGACATCTATGATGTTGTCCGGCTCCTCGGTTGGGGCAAAGGCTCGTCTCTCTTCTGGCTTGGGCTCTATGTATTCTTTCAAATACCCGTCTCGGACCAAGCTTTCCAAGAACGATTTGAACACCCTGCAGCTTTCGGTGCGATGCCTGAAATCCCGGTGATAGGAACACCTAACCTTTTGATCACGGGTGGAGGGGTCGCTCTGCATCTTGGGTGGCCATTTGAAGAACGGCTCGTGCTTGATTTTATGGAGCAATTTGAAGATAGGTTCCTTGAAAATAGTGTGAACTCCTTTGGACGGACCCCCTGGAGGGGGCAGCAATCCCTTTTGGGGAATATCTGCCCGCTCCTTCTCTTTTTTCTTAGATTGGAGGGCTCGGCCTTTGCTGCTTCCCATATCGTCCTCAACCCTCGAGTATTTGTTTATTCGGGCCATTAGTTCCCCCATATCCGATGGAGTCTTCTTGGTCAGAGATCGGTACAGGTCCGTGTCCCTCGCCAAGCCGAGCCGGAAAGATGCTGCCGCCATGACCTCCGAGCAGCCTTCTACCTCATTAACCTCTTCCCAGTATCGGATGGCGTACTGGCGAAGAGTCTCGGATTCCCTCCGTCTGAGGGTCAGCAATGATCCAATGTCTTTGGGGCGCTTACTCCCCGTAATGAATCGAGCCAGGAACTGCTTAGTCAATTCCTTCCAGGACCCAATACTGTTGGNATCTGTATCGATCACAACAAACTCGGTGCCGATGACAAAGGGACCTGTGACAACTGACAATGTGATTTTCCCCACAGGCAGGGCGAACGAGCCGTTGAACCCGATGAGGGGTGTCCTGACTTTGGTGAGGTCTTTGGGGCCAAGACCCATCCGTTTTAAAGTTTCGGAGTACATNTGATATGGGCTTCGGGATCGGACCGCCCGTTATAAGTTTTGAACCACGGCACGACAAATTTTCTTGAGACCTCCATCTCACTGATCTCCCTCGTAAAGGGTGTTTGTATGACTTCGTCCTCGGCCTCATCCTGGACAGTCTNAATCTTTTTGACATCGAATTTCCCTATCCTCAGGGTCAAAACAAGGGCGTCGTTATGAGGAGTCACTACGCCTGTCAAATCCGTGTCGGAGAATGTAATGCCAAGCTCACCCGTCCTAGCCCTTTTACTTGGTGGCCCTACATCAACCTCGGCTACCTTCCTGGTAAAAGCTACCCTCTTGAGGTCGGACTCGAGTTCCTTGGACGTGGGGCGATCCAGGGGACATATATGGATGACATCTATGATGTTGTCCGGCTCCTCGGT